TCAGCCTGGGCTGCTTTGGGTTGCAGGGGAAGGGCAGAGATCTTTTAAGCCACTTCACCCTGCAGACGTGAGGAGCAGGTTGGAGGAAACGTGCCATGAAGCTGTTTATCTCTCTGCACTGAGCAGAAGGAAAGCTCAGGCCGTCGGAGTCAGGGACAGAGGTTTACCATGCAGACATCTAAAATTAGATGAGAGATATCCCTTCCCTGTCTGGGAAAGAGATAAACGTCTGTAATTGGCACGCCTCGGTCTGATCAGCCGGCAGGATGTGGGAAGCACACAGCTAATATTTGTCAGCTGAAAGCAAGGATCTTATCTGACAGCATTGTCTACGTTCCTCCTGCAGTCAAGAGACAGCGATGACTACAGGTGTTCTCAGTGCTCAGCAAACACAAGCACCTGGCTGGGACTGCATGGAGGCCGTGCAGCCAGGAACACAGGAAGCCCTGTGGGCTTTTTGTCCCTCTGTCTTAGCATTGCAAGCCTTATCCTCTACCACAACACGACGTGGCATTCGAACACACATCTACAGGCGTTTCTGGAAACCCATAAAGCCCCAAAATGTTCCATTGTGGATGATTGTGCCATGTGTATGCAGCAAAGGCAACTAGATGACAAAACCCTGGATTTCAGTTACTGCACAGAGATCTGTGTCAATGCAGAGCTCACAAACAGCACGGTGCAGTGCCAAACCTCCCACTTCTTTCCTGAAGTTTCTGATCACAGCATTTTGGAATCGCTCTCCTAACTCGGTGGCAGTAGATGAATTCCTTGTTTGCCACTCCGAGGCTCCTACAGCCTCTGTGCCACGTGGGAATCCTCTGCGTGGCCACGGGGTCACCCTGCTGTCCCTTTAGGGTCCCTTTGTGGGTGCAGATGGGCAGCTGCCAACCAGGGCCACAGAGTCCCTCTGCCCCACAGCACTGCTCTGCGCTGGGCATGTTGTAGAGCATTTCCAGACATCTCTTCCTTGCAAAGGAAACAGAAGTGGAATTGGGTTTAGATACCGGCAGGAAGGGGGCACGAAGGGAAGGATGTGGACAATGAGCAAACCCCCCCAGGATGCCGTGCTCGGGCAGGATGTGGGGCAGCTCCTTTTGTCAGTGACATAACTGTTAATGAGAGCTTTGCATTTGCAAGACTCCTTGCTTCCTAAAGAAGCATAATGGAGGCTCACAGCTCCTGGAAGAGCTGCAGCAGCATTCTGTCACTAGCAGGACCCAACCTCAGCAGCACCTCACAGGGCCTCACAAGAGAGAAATCTGCCCCAGAACAGGGCTGCAGATATTTCTCTTGTTTACACCGCTCTGCCCCAGGCATAAGCAGCTCTGTTGCCACCTCCCCTGAACTCCCGGGGTGCAGTCACTGAAATGCAGTAGAAAAACATGGGATTATACTCATGTGAGCTCCTGCTCTGAATTCCCAGCGGAAAGACGAGGCCCCAACATCTCTGCTGTCCCCAAGCGAGCTGCTGAGCAATCAAATGGCGAAGTCAAATGACTTCAGCGAAACAAATACTCCCTCAGCACGTCCAGCAGCTTCGGACAGAACACATAGGATGCACAGGGCAGTCAAAAATGCAGCAGGGAAGAAAAGCTCAGCAGAGCAGTGTGGGAAGGGTCAGCAGATGATTAACACACAGCCGGCCCCTCACAGCGCAGAGGCCCAGCAACAGCAGTGAGCGATACTCCTTGCAGGCAGTAACAAGCTGGACATTTCCCAAGCACAGCACAGTTGCCCATGCAGCAGAACCTCGGGGTCCTTCCCACGCCCTCGCCAAGCTCCTCAGCTTCCTGTGTAAGCTCCTGCCCTCTGCTTAACCTCTCAGACCATCAGAAAACACAGGGCTGAGGCAGGCTGTGCAGGCACGGTACGCCCAAAAGATGGAGATGTTGCTCGTGCAGGCATGCTGCAGTGATGGTACCATCAGCCCCACCGCTGGAGGAACTGATAACTGCCCTGGGATCACCAGGACCCTGTGAGTCTTGGCTCTGTGCTGCTCAGCAGGTGAGGAACAGGCAAAAAGGAGTTCTGACTGGAGCTCGTTATATGAGAGATCATAAGAGAAATGGGACAAAGCATGGAAAAAAAAGAAAAGGCACGTGGGGAGGGCAGGAGTGCCACATCTGTGGCACAACTTAGCAAAAGAGTTAGAAGCGTGCTTGGTAATTTCTAGGTAGGATACACATTTACCATCTCCAACAGCAATATTTTCATCTTCCTGGAAGAAAGCACACACAGCTCAGCTACGGAGCTCAAGAGAAGGGAGATGAATTGCTCTGCACACCTGTTGAGCAGATCTGTAAACTCCACATGCCCTCAGCAGTACTTCATGTCATCAAGGATGCATGGAATCTTTCTTATACTCTGAGGATTCAACTCATGCCAGAGAATGCTGCAAGCAGATTGCACCAGGTCTATGCTTGTGAATGAGGAGGGCTGCAGAGGCAGGAGAGCACAGAAAGGAATGAGTGTGGGTCACAGGGTAAACTAGCACAGGTCTGGTGCCCCCTGCTTCTCAAACAGCATCACGCAGTGGCACACACCACAGGGACCACACTTGTAGAATCATCCATCATCCTCTCCAACAATTTAAAGCTCCAGTGGAAAAATTTGCTCTTACTCCATCTCCAGTTTCTGCTCACCTCATCAGCCATGCCCAAGGCAGTATAAACAAGATGGGGCAGTGGTTCAGCCCCATTGCTATGTCAGGAGCCACAATTCTGACCTGAGGGCTTGGCGTGGCAGGAACATGACTAAAATTTGCACTTTGTGGAAGGTGAGGACAGGTTGCAGAAATCTGGGAAGTGGTAACTGCATTTTAACAGGGCAGGAAACACGCACATCACCGAGGATGCTTGCAATCTTAGTGCTGTAGCTGTCTTGAGAAAGAGGAGAAACTGTTAGATACAAACACCAACAAGAGGTGTGAACTACAGGAACAGAGGAGAAAAACATGTAACGGCCCAAAATAAAGATCAGCAATCCAAGGGTATCGGATGGCTGCCCCCAGCCTCAGCACTTCTCAGAATATAACTGCAGCAAGAGACATCCCAGGTTCGGCTCTGCAAGCAGAACACACCTGCTCTCCTGCTGCTGCACAAGAGCAAAGGACACCATGGGTCAGCCTTCGCTTTCTGTTCACAGAAACAGGGAAGCCACAATCTAGCTGAAAAGAGTGCTTGTCTCTCTTGACAGTAAGGGGAACAACTCCTTTAGAATAAACAGCAATCTCCAAACTCTGTAGGTGACAGGGGAGAGCAGGCTGGATGGCTAAGTGCTCAACATGGCTCCTTCCAGAAGAAATGTACATCCATTTATTCACTTAAAATACAGTCAGTGCCCCCAGGGTGATGCAACAGAAAGAACTGTCCATAAACAAAACACTTCTAACGATTCCCTTTGCAAAACCTTCACAGTGGGAAAGCAGCCTTTGGAACACTTGGTAAAAATAACTGTGTTTTGCTGCACTTCTTTACGTAGCAATCATTTAGCTACTAATCATTGCTGCTGCAGTGCTTGCAAGGTGCAGATTTTGCTAGTGGCAATGCATATTCTCACTCAAACACCCTAAGTTCTGGTTGTAAATGTGCCACAAGATGTAGGCAGTGGCTTTCTAGCCTATTGGCACGCTTCTCTGAAGAGCAGGGGTCATACTTTGCACCCAAATGCTGTCTCCAGGTTACTAATGGTTGGGAAGCAGTCTTCTCTGGCCCCGTGCAGCCTCCAGTGTATGTTTCCTCCTTAAAAGAGATCACTCTTAATTCACAGACAGCATCTACCTTGTTTTCTTAGCATGTCCCACACGTTTCTGTCCAGAACACACCGTGACAGCTGGCTCGGCTCCATAACAGTGGTGCAGTTGAAGGCATCTTCTGCAGCAAGATTATAGGTCTTCCATCCTCATATTAATAACTGCAAAAGCAGACGCCATCAACCACAAACCAGCGCCGTGAACTCTGAAGCCTCTTGCCCACGAACCCAGGAGAAGCTTCAAGTTCTGGCCACTTGGCTGTCCCACACCCACACTACCAAAGGCACGTGCTGTCCCCACGCCAATGCTCCCATGGATGCTGCTGCCTTGCTGGCCCTGCAGCATCAGCACCACAGCCGCTACGCAGCCCCGAGCTGCGCCCAGCACCCGGTGCTCTGCCTCAGGTGATGTATCCCAGTCCTGTGTTCCCATGGCATGGATAACACGAGCCCAGGTTTAAATTACGTTGCAGGAAAGGGGTTAAAGTTTAAATGACTGTTTTGTATGTGAATTAATGTATGTAGCTTTGAGCCAAAATATCTACCATTAATTTTTCCACCTATTTCAGGAGCAGTAAGATACACAAAGTAAAGTTTATTTTGGTACTTGGTATACTTCACTCCCATTAAAAATAAATTAATCAGCAAATTCCTACACAGCTCAGCCTTCTTTTATGTAAATACAACCCAGCTGTAATGAATTACAAGGTGTTATTATCTCACACACACTGTATAATACTTCACACATAAGAGGTTTCTCTGCTTAGCTCAGCTTTCAACAAAAGCATCTTAAATAAACTGCAAGCAAGTTGTTTGGTCTGTAATGTTTTCACAGAGAAGGGATACACCTCACACATTGAGGGTTTCTTTACATGACTCATTTTATAACAAGTTAAACTGAGGAAGTTCGCCCTGGAAAAAAAAAAATAACAAAATGCCTTTTTTATACAGAGAAGGCTCCTTAAGAGAGGCAAAGGGGGAAAAAAAAAGCAAGCCGGTGTTTGGGAGCCTGCCTGCTGCACCCAACTGCTATTCAGAGGAGGGATGTCAGGTACTCACCAAAACAGCTTCAGAAAGAAGAACAGTCACATCCAGGCAGTCACAATTTCTACGGAAACACCACCTCATCCACTACAGAATTACCATCCTCGACTTTTGCATCATAGTATTATTAGGAATACGCCTTAATAACAGCAGACTGATTCTTATCAAAGTCTTGCAGAGCACAGAAAATGCACACGCATGGATTGTACCCAGAATGGCATTTATTACCAACTGCAGTTTTGACAGGAGTGAAATGAAAACTGTTTTGGCCTGGAAATAGCCCTGTGAACCATCCACCTACGCAGTACACCTCAGCCTCTGCTGGTTTAATTAGTGGAGCTCTGGCTCCCATAATTACTGTATCGGTGTAATTTGCTTGCAGAGCCATATCAACTTTTAGCTGGGGTTGACAGGTCTTGTTGAAAAGCCCTGGGCCACTGCTTTGGGGGTGGGAGGCAGCACAGTCCTGTGCCATTAAGGGCCACGCACAGAAACAGCAATGTCATTTTCAGGAAGAAATTCTTAGACCACAGCTCTAAAAAGAATATGGAACTATCAGCAAGGCAGAGCTCCTCTGAAATACCAAGCACTCTGAGACAGCCTTGGGTGGCAGCCCAAACACGCTTCAGACTCTTTCCTCATTAAGATGGCTACAGTCACAGGACTGCTGAGGACTGTGCATTATTCTTTGCATCCTCCTATTCTTGTGCAACAGAGCAGAGTTCCTAAGAAGGATTTTCATGGAAAATCCTTCAAAACCTGATAAAGTAACTCTAAAATCTATTAAAGAAAAACGGGCCGTTCTTTCTTGATACCAGGCTTTTAGAATTCATTAATATCTACAATGCAAAGCACAGATTTGTATTCACAACCATTCAGCCAGCAGAAGAACACCGTTGTTTCTGTAGGTAGCAGCTCTCCAGATGAGGCAAGGGACAGAAATGGCTTCTGGAGATAACTAAGTCACGGTTAAAGCAGCTGTTTTCCCAAAGATGGAAGGCAGGTCTTGCAATTTGTGTGCAAGGACCACTCTGTGCCATAAAAAGAACAGAGGTTCTCAAACCGGGTGAAAATCCAGGAGACTACGGCTGTCCAATTTGCTATCAAGTCACCACAGGTAAGACATCTATTTAAATACATTCCGTTTCAATAGCAAACTTTCCTTCCTGATCCCACAGCTTCAGCCCAATTCAGGCCTGTTTCCCAAGCTGGTTTGACGAATGCTCTCAGAGTCCTTCGTCGTTGTAAACAGGAGAAAGGGGCTTGAGGATGCTGCGAGCGTTGCTCTCCACCAGAGGCCTCCAGCTCACCTCGCCTGTCAGCAGCAGGTCCTCCCCGCTCAGTGCATCCAGGTGCTGCACCTGCAGGAGATGGGGTGTTAGCACAAAGCCCTGCACTCCATTCAAGGTCCTCAGGAGCTACGCAAACATCTTCCTTTCTAGCATGCTTTGTCATTTTTGAGGAGTGAAAAAGAGTCATGATTACTTAAGCATTGCAGAAAGGAAGGAGATAAGCATCTGCAGATCAACTGGAGTTAACCACACAAGGCTGTCTGCTTATGCCTCAGCTAATGCTTCCTCTGAAAGTCTGGCAACAGGACAAAGAAGAGCCACGCAAAGCATTTCGAGTTCCAGGCAGTTAATTCCAGTGACACACTGCCGGTATCACTACCTGCATGGAGTGCTCTAACAAGAGTGGTTTCATGTCAGCCAGGGCTTTCTCCTATAGAAAAGGACCTGACCAGCAGGGAACAGCTGAGATTTATAAAAACACACAGGCTGGAGCAGCTGAACAGAGAGTGAACACTACAAGAAATAACTGACATCAAAAGAAACGTTAAGGTGTAATGTAAGCAAAACACTCAGTGAACACTTCAGTATTGTTGTCAGGCAAGGCACTGTTAACACATTGTAAATGCAAGCTTGCTGCCACAGGACATTTCAGGGACTTGAGAGGGGGAAATGGGCATGGGAGAAGAAAAAGGGCCCATCAGGAGGCATTAAAACTCCAAAGTACCATCTCTAGCTCAGGACGTCTCTGAACACAGATTGCTGGGAGAGTCAACAGGGAATTAGTACCCATACCAGCCCTGTTGTTGTATTCTTCTCTGTGCATCCACTAATAGTCACTGTTAAAGACAGGATCAGCAAGAACTTGTGCAAAAGATATCATACACAAAGGATTTACAGTGTTTACTAGAAACACAATATAATTTGACAAGCAGTTTCTCAACAGAGGAAAGAATACAGCAACAGTCACAGGATCAGACTGAAAAGCCACCTACGCACAGCACTGTGTTACTGAGAGTCAACAGACTTCCCAGCAGCCGTTCAATACAATGCACAAGCACCATCTTACTTCCTTATTTCCCACCCCTCCATGTGTTACCCATTTGTTAGTTCAGAGATTTTGAGCCTGAAGTGGTTGTTCTGTACTTCATACCCCTGGACAGGTTTCTCTTCCATAAGCGTTGCCAGTGACATTGGAGCTGACACAGCATCCCAAGCACCGTGTGGCAATCCATGCTCAGCCTTTCCTTGCTGTATTGGGTTTAAGTAGCAAGGGTTCGGTAGCGAGAAGGGATGCAAGAGAGAGAGAGGTCTGTGAGCAGAGCCCCATATTAGACCTGAGCCAGATCCAGCCCCCTCCAAAACGGAGCTGCCGTTGGCCAGAGGAATGACGTTGGGTCTATGTCTGGCAGAACAGATGGAAGAACAAACTGCTGTGCAGCAGTGCAACAGAAGCTGGGAGAGATGAGTGAGAAATCAGAAATGAGTGCTGCAGACAACCAGATGCCAGAGCAGTCTGCTTCTGAAGGATGGGCCCCGTGGTACAGAATCATGCTGGAGCAGTGCTTGGAGAGCTACAGCTCGTGGGAAGTCCATGCAGGATCTGTTCAGGAGGGATGACATCCATGGAAGGGGCCCCATGTGGAGCAGGGGGAGGCAGCAACCAACAGGGAACAGCAGAAAGGAAGCATGAGGGACTGCTCACAGCCCCTTTTCCCCATTCCCTAGCACCACTGGGGCATGGAACAAAGGTGTTTTCAGTTTGCTTTTAGTTCCCATTGTTCCAGTCTGTTAATAGTTAGCAGCACAAACCACACTAATTTCCCTATGCTGAGTCTATTTTGCCTGTGATTGTAATTGGTGAGTTCTTATCTCAACCTGTGAGCTTTTTTTCCCTATCATATTTTCTTCCCTTGTTCTTTTGAGGAAGGGGAGTGAGAGAACAGTGTGGTGAAGCTTAGCTTCTCACTAGTGTGCAACTAACACACTCACTCACCTTCCATGCACCTTACCTTCAAGGTCTCATAGAGCTGTCTCACATCCTTTCCCAGCTGTTTTAGAGACAAGGAATCTAGTCACTGGTGCTACAGAATTTGTTTCCTCTCAATTCCACTGCTCTTCTCTGAGCCTTTTTCAGTTCAGTTTTTATCTTTCTTGCTGTTTTGGGCCCTTATAGATTACTCAAAATCACAATGGTATCATGGACTCAAAAAGTGGCACCATGACACTATAGTTTACTCTCCATTCCTTCCTTACTAGTTCTGAGCATTTGTTTTACTTTTTTTCAAACACTAATCAGCACTGAGTTGTCATTTACATATTAAAATTATAATCTCAAGGACTCATTTAGACCACAAAGGTCTAAAAGCTCATCTCTTTAAAAGTAAGGTTGGATTTGTTTTCCTCCTTAAGTGTACCACTTTGTAACTGTCTACACTCAACTGCATCAGCCATTTCTTCGTGCAGTTACGAATTCTTACTGCAATGAACCTTCTCTCAATAAATTGAGGATTTATTGACCTCTATTGTCTATATTTCAATTGCTTGTCTATGAGTACATTCACTCTTCCCCTGTGACTGCTCAATTTTTTTCTTGCTTTTAAAAGAAGTCATTGTAGAGGTGTTTTTTTGGATGTTCCCTAAAAATCCATAAAGATGACATAAATCAGATACTTGTTATCTACACTGATGCTTTCAATCCACAGATGGGTGAGACGTGACCTGCCTCCATAGAAGCTGTGCTGACTTTTCTCCAATGTACTGTGTTTATCTGTGTAATCACTATTTCCTATTAGGCTGCTGACAGCTTCTTTCCCATCTTCTGCTTCAGTTTATAAAGCTGCTACACACTTTCCAGATGGCAGTGCACAGCCAGCATACACTGCCTGCTGGCATTCCAAAAGCGTCCTCAGTCTCTTTGACAAATTCCCCTCATTTTCCATTCCATTTTCTGAGTTACACTGAAATACATCTCCAACTCTCCATGTGGTCCTAAATTCAGCATTGGAGACTGTACTGAGAATGCTGCTGTGGAGTTTCTGGTCTCCAATTTCCTGTCCCACAGGTACACCCTCCCTCCAGCCCTCTCTCACCCACTTTCTGTCTCTGGTACCCACATGGACCACATTTTCCAGGTCCTACCCAATGCTTCCTAGAAATCTGGCTCAGAAACCTCCTAAAGGTTCAGAGGACAAACACTATTTAACATATTTCCCTCCACGTAATAATGGAATGAACCTGGAAAACAAATACTTTACATCTTTCCCCAAGCAATCAGAAATTCAATCACTGTATGTAATCTACTTCATTATCAAGAGGATTTGGTCTCCACAGCAGCAGGTGTAACTGCACAACAAGTTACCATCCACAGCTGGAACGTTCTGTTTTGCCCCTTCATAAAGTGGGTCCAGGAAAAGAATAAGAAGGGATGCTCCCAGTCTTCTGCGAATTTCTCTCCAGATATTATTCAAACTGCAATGAATCTGTTAGTTTTTATGTTTTTACTTTTATCTTCTTATAAACATTCAACAGGTTAAAAAAAGTGATAAAGACAACGGGGCTATGTAGTACCCAAGGAATAAAAGTAAAAGTCAATACCCCAACCAAGAGAATGGAGAGCAGCTGTGCTGGGAGCTGCCGTGTACCTGTTTGCGCACGTACTCCACGAGCAACTCCAGGTGCCGAGGGTCCTCACAGTTCCTGTTAAAAAGGTTTCTCCATAGAGCTGCTGCCAGAACGTGATCATCAGACAGGATTCCCTATAGGAAGAATAAAGAGGGGTTAAAAAGTGCACATGAAGAGGGTCTGAACTAAAGACAACTGAAACGGTGTAGTCAGAAGGGCTAAGGAAGTGTTGGTCTCTCTGTACTTGGCACTTGGGGAGACCACAGCTCAGGTACTGCGTTCACTGCTGGGCTCTTCATTACAAGAAGGACACTGGGGCCCTGGAGCATGTCCAGACAGAGGCAACGAAGCTGTGAAGGGTCTGGAACACAGATCTTATGAGGAGCAGCTGAGGGAACTGGGATGGTTCAGTCTGGAGAAGGCTCAGGGGACACCTTATCGCTCTCTACAGCTCCCTGAAAGGAGGCTGTAACAAGGTAGGAACCAGCCTTTTATCCTAGCTGACTTGTGATAGGATGAGAGAAGTTGCATCAGAGGAGGGTCAGGTTGGACATTAGGAAAAATGTCTTCTCAGAAAGAGTGCTAATGCACTGGCACAGGCTGCCCAGGAAACTGGTAGAGTCCCTGTCCCTGGAGGCCTTCAAGAAACGTAGGATGTGGCACTGAGAGATGTGATTTAGTGGGCATGGTGGTGGTGTGTTGGCAGTTGAACTTGATAGAGATCTTTTCCAATCTTAATGATTCTATGATTCTACTCTACTTGGCACCTGACAAAATTAGATGCCTCAAACCCACAGCTGGTGTAGACTGTAGTACAAAAAGACATCTGCATCACTCTTTTCCAGAATGGAAAAACAACCCTGGGCTTAAATTAACTGATTTACAGAGCAGCTTATAACAAATATTCTGGCAAATCAATCTGGAAAAAGCCTAGGTTAGGGTATTCCTAATGTAGAAGCTGATAAATGCATTTCTAGAAGCTATGAAATGACACAATCACAGAACTGGAGGAGCTGGAAGGAACCTCTGGAGATCTCCCACTTCCTGCTAAAGCAGGTTCCCCAGAGTAGGTTGCACAGTAAAGCATCCAGGTGTGTCTGAACATCTCCAGAGAGGGAGACTCCACCACCTCTTTGGGCAGCCTGTTCCAAGGCTCCATCACTCTGACAGTAAATATTTTCTTCCCTATGTTTAGATGGAACTTCCCATGTTCCATTTTGTGCCTGTTGCCCCTTGTTCCATTGCTGGGCACCACAGAGCAAAGCCTGGCCCCATCTATTTGACTTCTGCTTATCAGATATTTACAATATCCTCAAAAACAGCACCACCTCACAAAGCTGCATGAAGGCTGTGATGCTTGGAGAAGAAAAACTGAAAGGCTATAAAACATGATGCTGCAGAAAAGTAATCACAGCTTTGCAATTTTGCTTTTCTTGTCCATTTTCTGTTTAAATGATGAAAAAATGAACTATTCATCAAGAACTATCTACATTTTTCCAGTTAAATCTAATATTATTTTTGGCTTACACAAGAACCACATCCACAGGCACTTTTGTCTAAATTCTCTCTTACTTTTATTGTCTTTTTAGATTATACGGTGTTAGCACCATACTCTTGTAACTTCTGTCTTCAGCTGACACATTTGCCAAAGGCAAGAAAGGACTTAAAAAAAATTCAGTAAAAAATAAAAGAGGTCAGCACTTGCCTTTAATTTAACTAGACATCTTGTTTCCAAAGAGACTGTAAGGGGAAAAAAAAAAAAAAAAGATAGGGAGACATGTCCTGGCTATGCTTAAAACTAGTTTAAGACTTGCAATCTAAGTTTACAATAGTTTATAAAAATAAACTATAGTTTAATAAGTATATATATATAAAGCATAGTTTAATAATAAGTTTATAATAATGCAAATCGATGTTTTAAAAAAATAACATCATCATGTGAACGAGAAGAGTATCTGAAGATCAATATCCACGAGAGCAAATATATTAACTACTAGAGAAGCTGAATACAAACGTATTTTTCTCTTTGGAAGCCCCATAGATGCTTGTGCATGGTGGTACTTCTGGCTTCAATTACTTACCAGATAATTCCTTAAAAACTCTCTCTCTCACTTAGTCACTCCCTATAAATACTTTTTGCTCTTGAAGTATAACTGAATACAATGGGATTCAGAGGGAGAAAATGTCACTGACAGCAGGGATGGTGAAGAACAAGAAAGAACATTCCTTCTTCCATGTGCCATGGTTTAAACTGGTATGAAGTGCTTCCTTTTCTCCTTAAAAACACTGCAATTCAAGACCTAAGGTGATCACTAAGAATTCTGCTTCCACAGGTTAACATTTCTCTGAGGATGCACACAACAAACTGCTACTCATCTGCAGCATTCTCTGCTCAGTCTGTTTTTTCTTGCACATTCTCTGAAAACATCCTTCTTACCTCATCATATCCAAACAGAGCTGCATAGAAATTTTCTACCATACTTCTCAAATCTTGCTTTAGAACAACAGAATTAATCTGAAAAATAAAACAGAAACACATTTGTATAGGTTCTCAGGAGGTGATGAAAAAACATTACCTGTAGGAAAAGAAGGCAAAGTGCCTTGGTCCAAATAGGTTAGGATTTGGTTGTAAGCAGTGATGTACACGTTGCCAAAGGTTTTAGAACAATTTACAGAACTCTTAGTCTATGCACAAAAGAAAGACAACCCATGTTAGAATGTTCAAATAGCACAAGAATTTCAGTCACCACAGCTGATGTACAGGCACATGAGTAGAGGAAAAAAAAAAAAGCAACTGGGTGAAGAGTGAAGGCAATGTAGTTCACTTTCAGTAGCAGCACTGACTAACACAATGAAGACTTCTGCACTATAACTGTTGGGCAGGTTTTCCAGACCTTGGGTTCATTCATACAGAGCTTTTAGAAACTCTGTAGTCTTTCAATAATTTTTTTTCTAAAGCAAGGGACTCCAAAGCTGGACATCCCATAACCAGGAGAAGTGATGCACTGCTAGAGATAGAGGCAGCATCCCCACCACTTCTTAATTACTTCTCAATACGGATGTGCATTCAGGAGTCACATTTCTGCTCTTACAGCATCTCACCAGAAGCTCAGACTCGCTATTGTTCACGAACACTACATTTCTTACAGCTTGTAATGATACAGCCACTTCCCCCCACGCTCTGCGGCTCAGTTTAATGGAACTTTTACATAATTTAACTTTTACATAATTTAACAATTGCTTAAATAGATGCTCGCCTGGTCTTCGCCACTCACTGGCTTGAACAACTGACCCACATGTGAGCTGAAGACAGAATGAAAAGCGATCAACTGCTAGGTCCAGAGCGATGGCTGGAATAACTCACATGCACCTCCCTGGTGCAAACTGCCTGCTCCTTCTGCCTGGATCTTTTACCTCTACCAACAGAACAATTCAATATGCAGCGCTTCTCCCGAGAGATGAGCTGTGCTTCCACTGGTAAATCATCATTTTATTTGTTTCACACACCTCACATCTTGGAGACAGCTTTTACAAATAACAAAGCACTGACAACAGGGATACAGGATAGAGAACCAGTTCTCCAGTGGAGTGAGCACTACTGTCTTTGACGTACAGCTTGTGACAAGGCTAAAGAAAAGCTGTGAAATAATCACACCTAGTATCTTAAAACTGATGAAAGCGTGAACCACATCCCAAAACATACTTGGCATCCCCAAGAGACTCAACTTGGTGCTAATACAACAAACTTTTCTACCAGAATGTGATTTAGTTTTTACCACGCTAGCAAATCTCCAGTTCACATATTCCTCCATTCAACCACTATCTTTCTTCATCAGTTGATTTTTACAGAAATGCATATAGTGCAAACACAAGGAAAATTCCTTTCATGTCCGTTACTCATATTTTTCCATTAATATAAACTATTAAAATTCATGCAGATATTTTATAGGCTATCAAGATTTGGTGACTGGTTATTACTGAATGTTTAAAAAAAGAACTAAACATAAGAAATCAGAGGGTTAAATGATGACTGCAACTTCTGTAATGACTTAATTAAATTTTTATTGAGTACATAAACTATGATGTCATTTCTACCCAACCATGCTCAAACTTTCTATGCATGTCAGAGATCGTGGTTTTTCTCAATAGAACGTACTTCTAAATAAGCTGCACTTCTACAGCTCTAATAAGGGGGAGCAGGTCTCATGTAACACACTCAATAAATTATCCTTCCATTTTTAAACAAACAAATTCCATGAGTTATTATATATTTGCCACGCACTTTTTATGACATAATAAAAATGTTACCTCAAGGATTACTTAACACATACTACAAATGTTACAGCAGGCAACTGCAAGGGGCAAAGAAAACAAATAGTCCCATTACAGAGACAAGTCCTGGACTATACGTCCCTCGGGACACAGCTTTCTGTACTAAAAACAAAGAGCAGCAGCTTTAAGTTAGCAAGAAATAGATTGATGAAGGAGATAACCAAGTTAAACAAACACGGCAATAAATACATCTTAAAAGACAAACAGTTCAAAATGTAAAATGTGACTTTGGGGATGAAGCAGTATCTCAGGCAATAAAATTACATTTAAAGGAACACTGCACTTTCTGAAGAATGCCACAGCCTGCGTTAGGTACAATCGCTGCAGGAAAAGAAAAAAGCCACTCTTCTTTGTAAAGCAAGAAAAACGAGCAAACCCAAATCAGGGTTTGTTGGAAATGCTTCCTCTTCTCAAAGATGTACGTATTCTTACCACTAGCCAGTTTCACGGCCTGATTGGTCATGATTCCACAGACTCTTCTGCAGTTCATTATTAAGAACAAGAACTGCCAGGCAATTCCAAGTGAGTAATTGCTAATAACAAGAAAGAAATCAATAACATCTGGAGCTCTTCTAAGAACGGAGCCCTTTGCCTTCTTTGCAACAACCCATTGTAGAGCCATCACCACAATAAGTTTACATCCATCACCTTAATTGACAAACAGAACCATCTTAGCTCAAAACACAGAATGTGGTTTTGTACATCTTCCTACACGTGACGACTTTTCATTAAAACACTCCATCATCCCACACTGCCTGCAAAACCTCGTTCTGCACTGTTGTATTGCAATAAGAAACCTTATCTTCAGCTTCAGCAAGTCCAACATGCACTGTTCAGCAGCCAGATGCTGAGGCTTACTGCTATACCAGGCAACTTATTATATCATGTCGCAGTTGAGGCCTTTTTATTCTAACAAAATTTCTAGGAATGTAAGAGCACACTGCTCTGTTGCTTATGCTACATATGGAAATATCTCATGTACAGGTACAGTTAAATTGAAAGCTGCTTTAGGATAAGTCTGCATTAATCCCTTCTGTTGAATGGAGAATGCTCTTTCATAATGAATCTCCTCCTCACCTGCACTTACCATCTTTGGTTTACGCTGCAGAAAATTCCCAGAGTGCAGAAACAGGAAAATAACGTGCTGAGATGTGCTCTGCCTGCAAAGGGACATTCGCCCCATGGGATCGGTCCAGCACCAGCACAAAGAGCAGACCATGTCACAGGGATGCTGGATTGTCAGCTGTTTCCCTCAGCGTAGATGTTCCCTATTGGGCCATAGCACATGTGATTGCTGACAGAGCTGCCATCTCCACACGCTACATTAGTCGAAAGTACTTTAACAGGAGTTTTTTTGTTTTTTTTTGGTTTTTTTTTGCCAGCATGCATTGCCCTTAAGCTACTTTAACACATTAATCCATCCATAGACTATAAAGTCAGAAGGGACACTTCTAACCTCACCTTGTTCAAGCACTGGTCATTGAATTTCATGCAGCAATTCCTCTCTTTAGGCCATAAGTTATGGTTGAACTAGATTTTTTTATGAAGAGATTTCAGCCAGAAGAAATGATTAGATCATAGAACCTGACCCTCTGCATATCACAGGCCATTACATTTCACTGAGTTCCCTCTGTACTAAGCTCAGTAAGTTGTGCTTGGCTAAAGCATATCACCCTCACAGCTGAACATGTGCATCTCATTTCATATTTGAATTTTCTGGCTTTAGCTTCCACCCCCTCATTCCCATTATACCATTCCTGCTAGAATATAAAGCTTCTTCTGTGCCGTACAGTGTATTTGCTCTGCACACACACACGGTAAGAGTGCCACCAAAGTCATCTTCTCCACCAAACTGAGGCTTGTAGAGGTGAGTTTGTGCTGGGTGCACTGAGTGCTGCACCATCAGAGCACACCCGCAGCGCTCAGAAGCCGTGGCAGCAAAGCAGCGTTTTCTGCTGATGCAGTGAAATCAGTCCATCTCCTGTGCAGAACAAGTCACACAGGTATGAGAACCCTTCTGCTGTTATGACTGAGTCTACTCCAAGGACTTCTGCTTGCCACGCTGTCATAAACATGAATCACTCTTATTTACACTTTTGATTATTGGAACAGTCAGTGTCAGCAGAAGTTCCTGAAGAAGACACAGGACGAACCTTCCACAATATTTTTTTGCCATTTCTCTGCAATTCAGGCTTTTTTCTTTTTCCCCCCTCCACACCTTTCCTAAATCTGCATTTGGAAAGAATGACTTGTATACAGACCTTTACATGAGTTGTGAATAAAGGAGCCACATACAGTTATACACAGGCATTTGAAGTGTTTTGCTGCCCTTTTAATAAATGCACATGGCATAAAATGGAGAAGACTGCACATAGCCCTTTTATTTCTGCCAAGAACATAACTACTACTTGTAGGACAATAATCTTGAAAACGACTGAGACTGCAGTTAAGATCAAAAAGATTGAATTAATAAAGCAGATTAAAAATAGCTTCTTAGTAAGGGGCCGCAAAGGCTAGCTCCTTCAGGCAACCTCACATAGCTGAATGACAAAGAAATTGCAGAAAGTATTTTTCCAACCTTCATTTTTTGAGTCTTTTATTAACCACTGTTGCTTTGCCTGCAAATAAGGTCAAGTTTACTGGCTTCCAATTAGCTGCAGCTGTGACTCCCCATATACTTTAAAATACTAACTTTTTGACGATTCTAATTAAAAGTCATTAATTTTGTAATGCACCACAGCAGATAATTAACTTTGGTAAATGGTCTTTAAAGCCTTCTTAAAAATTCAGTGACAACCTATTTCAACACTGCACTAACCTAAATATATTTTAGATTGTACCAGAACCAGTTTCTGCCAAATGTTAAATCCATTAAAACAACATGCTATTGGAAAGAGTTCTTTCATGCTGTGCTACCTTTGTAACTGCAGTGACCAATAACACACCTCAGAGCACGCATGTATTCCAGGCAGACGTAGAAAAGCAAGTTATACCACATTATCTACATATTTCAGCAAAAATAATGATGGTCATCCCTAGATGTCTACTAGGAGGTATGTTTCTATCTCGCAGTCTATTAATTTGGAAACTTTGCCATGGTAACAGTAAAAAATGCAGGAGGTCACCATACAATCCTAATCACACTAAATACATGGGGGCTTATTCTGAATTTTTCTTTTCTCC